AATATTGTTGTTGCTGTTGTCAGCTGCTGGCCAGTGGCTCCTGGCTCCTGGTGAGGCCTACTGTGTTCAGTAGAGCAGCTTCATATGGTTTCCAGGGCTGTGTCCTATCAGAAGATCACCACTCCTGTCTTCTGAGGTGTCTCTGATTTGTCAACCTTCCAGCTAGTACTCAAGTGCTTCAGTGTGCCCCCAGGAGCTCTCAGTAGGAAATTATGTAACCGATATTTTTACATGAAAATTTTCTCTTGGTAATTTGCCACATTTCTAAAAAGAAAGTTGTAAAATAGTATTACGATACCATTTGTATATTTTAAAAAGGATAATATAAGAAATCTGGGACTATAACTATGAAGAATAAGAAGATTGTCACATCATTGTATTGCTACTTTTTTTGACACCATACTGTGTAAGATTAAGGATGGCATATGGACAGCATTAAGGTGATGAAGTCACCTGCCCCGCCAAAATCCTCTCTTTTGCACAGGGAGAGCAAGGGTGGAGAGCGTGGTGGGGGCGTCAGCTACAGGCACGCCAAGGCAAGGGTTCCTGACCAAAGTTGCCGTGGAGCCTCCTACTTTCCTTCTCCGAACGCAACCACCCCTACTCCAGGACCCACTTCACGGGTGACTCTCCAGGCCTCCCACTTCCCCACCCCAAGATCTGGCCATGCGCTCCCGCATGCTGCGTATTGCTGCTTTTTCAATGATCATGTTTTATCAGGAAAATCCATATTTCACTTTATAAAATAAAAATTTTATATACCAGATAAAACCCCAAACCAAACTCATTGCCATAGAGTTGATAGAGGTCCATAACGACCGTATAGGGCCGTGTAAAACTGCCCCTGTGAGTTTCCAAGACAGTAAATTTTTAAGGAAATAGAAAGTCCTATCTTTCTCCTGCTGAGCACCTGCTGTTTTCAAATCTCAGTACAACGTGTAGCCATTACGACACCAGGGCTCCTATATACCAGATAACAAGTAAAAAACTTTAAAAAATTTAGACAAAAATTGGAGCTTTCAAATTAGTTAACAATCTGCATTTTGTCATTGTAGCTATACTTATTTTAGTATAATTTTATATTAAATGCATATAAATTATTGAACATGGTTCTTTAGCATAGTGGAGGAGTGGTGAGTAGAAAAAGCAAGAGGCTGGGAACTAGACAGCAATGAGCATTACCAATGAGTTTCTCCATTTGCTACAGGCAGTGAATGAACAGTGAATTTTACTTCTAGAAGATTTTGAGTCCCTCTATGAACTCCTCCTAATCAGATTACTTCCTTATATGCTCAACTCAACAGATGCCTAGCTCACTGTTTTTTGAAAGTGTCAGTTGCTTACAATATTGTCAATACTGAAAGGCAGAAATTATAGGGAAAAAATGGATATCCTGAATTCTGACATTAAGTATGTATGGGCTGTATTAAAGACATTTAGAAATATTTTACTATTTCATACAAAAATGTCAAATTATAAGCATGTCCTTGCCCTTAGATTTTTGGGTTTTTTTTAATCATTTTATTGGGGGCTCATACAACTCTTATCGCAATCCATCCATCCATCCATTGGGTCAAGCACATTTGTACATATGTTGCTATCATTCTCAAAACATTTTCTTTCTACTT